CGCAGCGGGCGGGAAGGGGCCGGCTTGTGAGGAAAACGGTTGTGAAATGACCGGACAAGACGGGGAGCATTAACCCAGTCAGCAGGAACCCAACTACATTCCTCCAGGCCATATCTCTTCCAGTCAACTAGATAAGACAGAACATCTCTAGAGAACTTGGAGTCTAATATAGATTGGACTTTGTACTCCTCTTGATCACCTACTACCAAGGGCAGAGGAACAACAACCATTTTTGTGTATCGATTGCAAGTGAGGGGCTTAAGCAATGATACATGGAAAGAATTGTCAATTCTCATATGTGCAGGGAGTGCCAATGAATAAGTCAAAGGGTTTATAAGACGAAGGACACGAAAGGGACCTTTGTATCGAGGAGCTGGTTTCATGGAAGGAACCTTGAGTTTGATATGACGTGTAGATAACCAAACCTTGTCCCCTACTTGATAGACAGGATTGGCACCCCTTTTCTTGTCAGCTTGGATTTTAGCACGTTTATAGGCATCTTGTAGTGCTGAATGAACAGAATCCCAAGTGTCCTGAATAGAAGTCAAACGGGCGTTCAAAGCAGGAATATCAGTGCCTGAAAATTCAGAAGGTAACACAATGGGGTAATAACCCTGATTAACAAAAAATGGACTATGATTAGAGGATTCATGAGTCGCATTATTTATGGCAAATTCAGCCACGGGTAAGAGTTCGTACCAGTTTGACTGATTGGCATTGACAAAGCAACATAAATATGTTTCTAAAGATTGATTGGCTCTCTCTGCTGCGCCATTAGTCTGAGGGTGGTACGAAGAGGAAAATGAAAGTTCTATACCCAATTGTTTACAGAAGGCACACCAGAACCTAGAGATAAATTGGGTACCTCTGTCAGAAACAAAGTTTTTTGGTACTCCATGTAATCGAAAGATCTCTTTCATGAATATTTGGACAAGATCTTGGGCAGAAGGCAATTTTTTAAGAAGTATAAAAATTGGAAAATCTATCTACAACCATAAGGATGGTATTATACCCATTAGAACTAGGGAGTTCCACAATGAAATCCATGGCTAAATGGGTCCATGGAGCATTAGGTATTGGGAGTGGCTGTAGCAACCCAGGAGGAGATTTGTGGGATGTTTTGGAAACAGCACATATTTGACATGCCCCTACATAGTCTTTAATGTTGCTTCTAAGGGCAGGCCACCAAAACTTCCTGGAGATAGGAGAGAGAGTTGTATGTATTCCAGGATGACCTGCTGTCAGATTATCATAAAATAACCCAAGTACTTTCCTCCTCAATGATGGAGTTCATCATTACGGTACAGTTTGCCCGGAGGTTTCTCCAAGGGTGCCTGAGTTTGCTCTGCTATTATGGCACAGAAAAGTGGAGAAGACACTTCAGAAACCATAGTAGCAATAAGACATTCTGGAGGTACGATTGGGAATACCTCTTGTTCAGGAACCTCATCTGTCTCAAACTGTCTAGAGAGTGCATCTGCCTTGGTTATCTTTGTCCCGGGCCTGTATGTAATTACAAAATTGAAATGGGAGAGGAATAAAGACCATATAGCCTGTCGGGAGGATAATCTTAGCGTCCCCAATACAAGCCAAATTCTTATGATCGGTGAAAATCAAAAGTGGCTCTTTGGAACCTTCTAAGAGATGCCTCCATTCTTTAAGGGCAAGTACAATGGCCAGTAATTCCCTATTCCCAATGTCATAATTTTTCTCTGCAGGAGTTAGTTTTCGAGAGAAAAACCCACAGGGATGTAAAGGCGCATCAGGACTCTCTCTTTGAGACAGAATTGCTCCTACTCCTGTTTCTGACGCATCTACCTCTAAAACAAAAGGTTTGGTCGGATCGAGGTGTGTCAGGACAGGTGCTGAGGCAAATAAAGATTTTAATTTTTCAAATGCCTCCTTTGCTTCCTTGGGCCATGAATTGCAATTTGCTCCTTTCTTGGTTAGGTTGGTAATAGGAGCTTACAATATAAGCCGTTCTTTAACAAGGTTTTGAGCACGATTCTCACATGTTCGTGATATGTTTTTAGATCTGGAGAATAGATGAGAATGTCATCTAGATACACCAGTACGAACATGTGGAGATATTCTCTAAGGACATTGTCTATAAAATCCTGAAATACCGCTAGGGCATTGCATAAGCCAAACGGCATAACCAGATATTCATAATGTCCCATTCTCGTATTAAACGCTGTCATCCACTCATGTCCCTCCTTAATTCTGACTAGGTTGTATGCACTCCTTAGGTTGAGTTTAGTGAATACTCGGGCACCTTTCAACCTGTCGAATAACTCAGAAATAAGGGGAATGGGGTAGGCATTTTTTATCGTTATTTTATTTAGACCTCTGTAGTCGATGCAAGGGCGTAGGTCTCCTTTTTTTGGATACGAAGAAGAATCCAGACCCAGCAGGTGAAGAGGACCTTTGTATGCGGCCCTTTCTTAGAGCATCTTTAATGTATTCCACTAAGCAAAAGGGTTTCTTGAGGAGACAGTGCATAAATTCCTCCTTTAGGAGGCATAGTGCCTAGTAATAGATGTATGGCACAATCATAGGGTCTGTGTGGAGGTAAAACCTCAGACTGAACCTTGTTGAATACTTTCTTTTAGTCCAAATACTGTGGTGGGATTTCTGTGGTCAAGGGAGGCGCTAAAGGTACATTGATGGTACCAATTCGTTGTGGCATCTGTAGTAAACAATGACCTCTGCAATTCTCTCCCCAACTCAAAATTTCTCCTTCCACCCAATCCAAACATGGATTGTGTTTCTGGAGCCAAGGAAAACCGAGTATTATCAGACATGTAGGGGAAGATATAATTTGAAAAACCATTTCCTCAGAATGTAAGACACCTACTAAGACAGCGATTGGCAGTGTTTTGTGCGTGATGAGAGGTTGAGTAAGAGGTCTCCCATCGATAGCCTCTACTGCTATGGGTCTATCTTTCTGCCTTATCAAGGAAATTCTCCACTGCCCCAGAGTCAATCATGGCCTCACACTGAACAGTAGTTTTCTTACAAGACAGAGTAATTTTTATAAGGAAGTGGTTCTTAGTCAATTTAGGGGGCATATACATCACACCTAAGGTCGGTCCCCAAACGTGCCTTAGGTGCGCAGGTTTTCTGGCCGAACCTTTTTTTTTTTTTAAAAGCCTTTGATGTCCTCTCTTGCCACAATACAGGCACAACCCCTCATTGCGTCTGTGTTGTCTCTCTGCCTCAGTTAGTTTAGCAATGCCCAATTGCATGGGTTCAGCTTCTGGAGGTGGAGCAGGACTAGTAATCACTGGGTTAGCGAAACAAGGGGCTATAGACAAGTTTGTACATCTAGTACGCTGTTTGTTTTTCTCCCTCTCTCTGAGCCTGTTGTCAATGTCAATCATGTATGCAATAAAATCATTAAGATTAACTCGGAAGGTCTGTGGCTGCGGTCTCATCTTGTATATTTTCAGCTAAACTGTCAGAAAAAGCAGCCACCAAACCACTATTGGTCCAGTCAACCTCAGATGCTAATGTCCTGAACTCTATGGCGTAATCAGCTATAGAGCGGGTGCCTTGTTTTATTCTCATTAAGGCACTGGCAGCATTTTTCTCTCTTCCTTTTGGCTCAAAAGTAGCTTTAAATGCCGTTAGGGATTCATTATAATCACAGGCTACTGGATTTCCACTCTCCCATAAGGGATTGGCCCAGGTTAAAGCCTTGCCCGTGAATTGGTTCATAAGATAGCCAATCTTTGATCTATCTGTAGGGAAGGAACCAGGCGAAGATATTTGGTTAAGGAAACCTCTGAATTCCTTTGAATCACCTCCAAAACGAGGGGGAGGTGAAAGGGTTATGGATGGAGGTTTATATACCACAGGTGCAGGTATAGGTGGCGGAGCTACAGGTGGTACAGTGGGTGCCTCCAGATAAGCAGTTCTCTGGAGCAAGGTCTGGAACGCTTGAGCAAACTGATCTAACCTGTGGTCCATATCCTCCACACTGCCCTCACAGGCTATCATAGTTCCGCAGGATCCATGGCCCTGTCGTAATGTCACGACTGCTAGTGTGGTCCAACATGCAGAAACTATGTAAACATATACATAGAAAATGAAAATGAAATAAAAGGATAGAACGTAAACTGGTCCTTAGAATGGCCGGACTAATAGAAACATAGAAACATAGAATGTGACGGCAGATAAGAACCATTCGGCCCATCTAGTCTGCCCAATTTTCTAAATACTTTCATTAGTCCCTGGCCTTATCGTATAGTTAGGGTAGCCTTATGCCTATCCCATGCTTAAACTCCTTTACTGTGTTAACCTCTACCACTTCAGCTGGAAGGCTATTCCATGCATCCACTACCCTCTCTGTAAAGTAATACTTCCGGATATTATTTTTAAACCTTTGCCCCTCTAATTTAAAATTATGTCCTCTTGTTGTGGTAGTTTTTCTTCTTTTAAATATAGTCTCCTCCTTTACGGTGTTGATTCTCTTTATGTATTTAAATGTTTCTATCATATCCCCCCTGTCTCGTCTTTCCTCCAAGCTATACATGTTAGAGACATTAGAGACAGAGAATGGTCAAAGGGAAAGCCAAGGTCAAGGAAGCCAGAAATACACAAATACCATTTAAACAAGCCAAGTCATGGAAAACAGAAAATCGGAATAACAAAGAATAGCCAAGGTCAAAATACCAGAATATCAGAAATCACAAGGATAAACGCACTCTCGGGAACAAGGAAAAGGAAACCACGACAGGGCAAGGTACTGGGGTGAATCAGGGATTTAAATATCCCTCTCTAGGCTCTGATTGGTTGTGCGCGTGCGCAGAACGTGCGCGTGCGTTGACGTCGCAACGTCACGCGCACGTTCATATAATTTGTGGGGGCAGAGCCATCGATGAATGCGACCGCATGGTCAGCTCCATCTTGTTTTTTTCCCGAGCGGCACAGATGCGCATCGCGGCGAGCCGGGACATGACGTTAAAGAGTAGTCTGAATAATTTGCGGATTAGGGGAATCTCTGAGTCAGTGGAACCTTCAGAATTAAAGGATTACTTTCAGGTTGTGCTAAATACAGTCAAGTCAGATATCACCATGTCGGAATTAACTCTGGATCGCATCCACAGACTACCAAAGCCCAAAATAATACCATCCTCGGCACCAAGGGATGTCATGATTCGAATTCACCATTACCATGTCAAAAAGGAATTTTTCAACAAAGTTATATCATAAGTTCTTCCCAAGGAGTTAAGTCATCAAGACATTTTCAAGGACTTCTCTGCTCATACTATGAATCGTAGAAGAGAATTCCAGTCATTTACAAGCGAACTGCGAAATCGAAATATCAATATAAATGGGGATTTCCGGTGAAGGTTCTTTTTCATCATGATGGAAAATCTTTTGTTATTTCTACTCTGGGGGAGGGCATGGAGTTAATTCGATCATTTAAGGAACAGATTCCTCTACAAGCTCAGTCTCCAGATACACCCATACATCATCAAAAGAAAAGCAAGTGGGACTCTTGATTGATTTTTTGTGCTTTTTCTCTGTTTATGGTCATTTTCATGTTTGATGTCTTGGCTTTTATAGTTTAGTTTAGGGTTTTTTGTTTTTGTTTTTTTTCTCTTATTTTTGAGAATTCATTATTTTTGTGTTCAGAGAGGGAAGGGGGGGAAGTTGCAGGACATGAAGAGAAAACCTTTTTTTTTCTCATTAATAAACTGTTTCTTTGTTATTTCATTTTTATACTCTATACCCCATACAATAATCTTAGTTCTCTGTTATACTTTATTTTTGGGATTATGGGATTGGGGAGGGTGGTTGTGAATTTGGAATTTGGGGGGAGGGAGAGGGGAATTATTTAAGGGGAGTTTTTTTCCGCTCTCTTCTCTCCTCTCTCTCTACTCTCATTTCTCTCAATCTCTCTATTGTTCTCTCTCTTTTTCTCTCTTGTTTCTACTTTTCCTTTTGTTTCTTTTATTCTCTTTTTCATGTTTTTTTTAATTCCCTTTTTTCTCTTTCTTTTTTTATTCCCTTTTTTCTTTTCTTTTATTCCCTTTATTAGCCAATATATTCAAATTCCATCTCTACTTTTTTCCCTTAGCTTTTTTTCAACTAAACAATCATGCTCGTGATGCATCCTTTCAATTATCTAACATCAGATGGGTATTAATACTTTTACCAGCTCAAATTTATACAAAATATCCTTTTAACCCTTGCGCTATGTTCGGAATCTTTCAATAATTTGTTTTACAGTTTTTGTATTCCCTATTTGAACGTTAATGATGGTACTTAAATTTATGTCACTCGCATAAATGTAGACTATTATTTAAGGAGACTGTAAAAATTAAACCAGAAATGTTATTCATCCAGAAGAACCATTTTAAATCAGGTCATGTGCCAGCCACTTTGGTACTGGATTATCCCACTCAGTATCACTCTACATTTGATAAAAAACCTAGAGGAGTTTCCCTGTTTTTCAGAAAAAATATAGCATGTCATACAACGGATGTATTTTTAGATCCCAATGGATGATACACAATTTGGAAGGGTACTATTAATAGTGTTGGATACACGATGGTCAATTTATACTCCCCGAACTCTAAACAATTTCAGTTTTTGAGATCAATTGTTAGCACGGTTTCAGATGGTATCAATTGCAAATTCATTTCGGGTAGTGATACAAATTTTGTATTAGATTGCAATTATGATATTGCGAGAGAGACTTCTAGTGCCATTAAAAATTATAATCGTATACAATTAGCTGACGTTTGTTCTAAATTTTTCTTTTTTCTCAGGGTATATTTTATTGTTGGCGCATTCAACATGAAGAAGAGAAAGACTACACAAAATTGATCCTTCCTTGTCCCTTGTCACAAAGATTTCAGATATTATTAAATTAACACTCAGTTCAGTTGGAGTATACAGCCTTAATGGTGAGGAGATTAAACACAGGTTTTTTATGCTCATCGGAATAGAGGCTCCAAATTATTGGCTTTTAAACGATGGCACAGGGTTTCCCAATCCAGAATTGAACATTTAATGGATGGAGGCGTTAAAGTTACTCATCCAATTAAAATCAGTAATATGTTTGCTGAGTATTATAAAAAACTTTATAATTTTGCTTCTGATACTAATACTATGCAACCCACATTCGATTCAATACACTCTTTTCTGGACAAGGTTCTTTTAAGAAAATTCCTATTGAGAAATTGGAAACTCTAAATTCCCCCATTACCTCTAAAGAAATAATAGATACTATTGCCATAATTCCACTATATAAGGCTCTGGGACCTGATGGGTTTACTATGGCGTATTATAGCTCTTTCTCAGTCCCCATTTAACTCAATTATTTAATTATTCTCAGTATTCTCAGTGCCCATTTAACTCAATTATTTAATTATTATTGGAAATCCAGAAGAATTCCAGAGGAGGCTTTCTTTGCGCAAATAGTTACATTACCCAAGCCAGGCAAGACACTGAATGTCTGTTCCAACTTTTGCCCGATCGCATTAATAAATAACGATACGAAGATTTATTCAAAAATTTTAACTAATGGACTTAATCAGATTTTACCGTTCTTTGTTGATAGAGATCAGGTGGGTTTTGTCTTGAATTGTCATGCTCTGGATGGAATTTAATAAATTTGATCATATTAAATCATCTCACACGCCTTCTTTGCTCTTATCTTTGGATGCACAGAAGGCGTTCAACAGATTACATTGGGGTTATCTTAGGGAAGTTCTGTCTCGTTTTTACATCCCAGAACCCTTCATTGACGCTGTGTTCACATTATATTCGCTTGAATTGTCATGCTCTGGATGGAATTTAATAAATTTGATCATATTAAATCATCTCACACGCCTTCTTTGCTCTTATCTTTGGATGCACAGAAGGCGTTCAACAGATTACATTGGGGTTATTTTAGGGAAGTTCTGTCTCGTTTTTACATCCCAGAACCCTTCATTGACGCTGTGTTCACATTATATTCGCTCGCAATATGTGTCCATTTCTGACAGCGACTCCCTCTCCCAGTCACGTGTGGTGTTCCCCAAGGTTCCATTCTCGGACCCCTACTATTTACATTATCTGCCTAATTTCTGCAAATCCTCAAATGTACACAAGTATGCAGACGACACAGTAATCTATGTAAGCAAATCCGATCTACCGCAGCTTGAGGCTGCGCTCCAAGACCAGTTTACAGAGGTAGAAAAGTGGATTGCAAAAAACAAACTCTTCCTAAACACTAAAAACTGTCACAATGATCTTTGGAACAGTACCTAAATTATACAAATTACACAATTTCCACCTATCCATCAAAACTAATTCAAATAGCACTCTGAGCGCAGTCCACACTTTCAAATACTTGGATATGATATGTTGGCCTCCACATAGAAAAACTTGCATCTAAACTTTATCCAAAACTAGGTGCCCTGTACAGAAACAAATCCTGCCTAAGCCCTACAGTAAAGGAAAAGATTGTACAGCAAATGCTGGTGCCAATCAATAATTATGGGGATGTAGCATATGCACCTGCACCGCAATCCCACATTAATAAACTCAATACATTGTATAACTTGTTCTGCCGATTTGCGCTACAATGTAATTACAGGACCCACCATTGTGACATGCTAAAAGATCTAAACTGGCTGTCGCTGGAATCCAGACGCACCCTTCATCTTTCCAGCCTTGTGTTTAAGAGCTTTTCTGGGAAGCTCCCACCCTAACCGAGCAGAATGCTCTTCTTGGCTGTTCCTATAACCTCCGATCCAGTACCAGCACTTTATTTAGTCTACCACAATACAAAAAAAAAGCAGCCCGATCCTCCTTTTCCTACAGAGCACCACAATTATGGGATGACCTCCCGCACACTTTCAAATCTTCCCCAAGCCTAAAGTCCTTTAGGAGATCCCTCTCTACATAACTCAAAACAGAATGCACGTGTTATGGTTGATAATATATGTCCTACCTGTTCCATGTTAAATTTTGTATATATGGTGTATTAATATTGTTTTTGTATTTTATAGTACCCTAATGTATCAAGGCAATGTTTTGTGAACCCAGGACATACTAGAAAACAAGAGAAATCTCAATGTATCTTTCCTGGTAAAATATTTTATAAATAAATTATAAATAATAACATTTGGCAAAATTTAATTATATCAAATAAATCCTGCCAAAAACCAAGTGCTTTCTTTCTTAATACCTTGGTATGAATTGAATATTTGAAGAGTAGGTTCGACTTTGACTGGAGAGACTCCTATATTCTTATTTAGGCACAAACCTATGCAAGAACCTGTCTAAGATACATCAATATAATTTGGATAAGTTTTGGTCCGATTTTAGACATGAACTAGAGATGTGGTGTAGTCTTGCATTGTCTTGGTTAGGTAGGGTTCATTCGATCAAAATGACTCTCCTTTCCAAAATTTTATATTATCTCAGAGCCATCCCCCTTTTGATACCTTTATCTTTTTTTTCTAAAGGTACACTCGGCCCTCTTGTCCTTTATCTGGAACAAGAAACATGCAAAACTTAGTAAATTTGGGGGTGTGGGCTTGCCTGACCTTGCCCAGTACTATTATGTTACCAATGCTGCCTTAAAATTTAACTTAGATAATGATCGCCCTCTTTGGCTTTAGATGGAGGCTAGCAAGCTTTCTCCTTACTCAATTAAAGATATTTTATGGCTGCTTCCATCTCAATGCACAAGGATGGCTGATATGTTTTTATCAACCAAGACTTACATCAAAGCTTGGAATACCCTTTACAAAAATCTTTGTCCTTCTTCAGTTTGGTCTATGGCAACCCCATTATGAGTTTTAAAATTAAAAATACCTAATATGGACACAAATTAGTGGTCCTCCCATTCTATTAATTATATTAATGATCTATTCTCATCCTCTAACATTTTAACATTTTCCCAAATTCAACAAAAATCTCACATCAGTAACACTGATCCTACTATATATGAACAGATGGTTGATCATTTTGAGATTTCCCACCTGGATCTGAATTATAGGCAATTGGAATTACTAAATCTAGAAAAAATGTCTGATCCCGGACAGAAACGTACCATCTCTCAGTGTTACACAGTTTTTGCGGGTAAATTGGGTATGAAACAGCCATACATGCTCATGTGGCAGAGTGATCTGGGTGTGGCGTTTTCTGTATCAGAGTGGCATAGTTTAAGATCGGCCTTGAGGGGAATCACTAGTAAC